GTATTTTCATATTTATTACTGGGCGGAGAAGGTCTTGCAAAGTAATAGCATTGTGTTTATGTAACTGCACAACAGGGATCGATCAGCTTGTTTACAGGGTCATTTTAAGTTCTACATTTGCTACTTTTAATTATTCTCTGGCTAGAAAAGAAGATTTTGAGCACTAGGAGTAGCAATATACATATACCACACTGGGATTCTTTTGAACAAGCAGAGTATTATGGATCATCTCTGTTTATCAAGAACAGTAGTCTTTGGCCATATCTTCCTCAACCCATGGCCAGGGAAATACATGAGACACTTAGCTACAATTGTTGAATGCTAGCAGCAGCCTTTTCGCAAGTAACCCATCTGTATGAAAACTTGCTTCATTAAGCGCTGCAAAAAAAGACTTACTGACTTAAAAATAATCAATAGAAAAAACATATTTAAAAGCAATATTGTTCACCCCTTTTTTTTTTTTTAATGAAGCTTTCAAGCTACTGAGGTAGAGATTCATTGTCTAGAAATTTAGACTGCTGTTAAAAATGCTGCACTGGTTTTCAATTACCATTTAAAAGTCCTGAACATAAAGCCTTCGATTTGAACTTTGAAAAGTGATTATGGTATAGCACAATAGTCAGTGAGTAAAAACCCAATATATATTTTGGCCATCTGCAAGGTTTTTTGTGTCTGTTCTAATTGTACTTGATAATAAAGGACTTGGCCTTCCATGATTGACAGATCTTCAACCATATATTTTGTTCCTTTGGATAGGCCTATGAACTGATTAATGACCTAAAGAGAATATTACCAAATATAGTACTTCTGTTTTATTATCAGTTACACAGATCTCTTTAACCAGGGGCCCAATTAGACAGTAGTGCCTGTGGAAAAGATTTTGTATCACAATTTCATGTAAACTTAGCAGTTCAGAAATTATAAGGTTATTAGGTTCAAATGATATACTTTCATCCAGATATTTAAACTAAATCTACTGATTCTTTTTCATAATTCAAATTCTGGCCTTAGATTGAGCAGTGGCGTTATTAGCTCCTTTATATGTATGACAAGGTTGCATCTGTAATTGTAAGTAAAGCCAAAAGTAGTTCTCACCTGTGCATGTAATAATACATTTGTATTAAGCAAGTATGCTTGTTAGAAGTATTATTTGCATAAAAAATACACTCCTGCAAATCTATACGGTCACCACGCAGCTTTGTAATTCAACAGAGCTGATGCATTCAACAGAACCTGCTATTCTGCAGAACTGATGTATTCAGGTTGTAATGTTTTTGATATCAGACTTTGTAAGGAGAAAGACCTCATAATTCTAATTAATCACAAATTAGGAATCTACACCTTTTTCTGTATTTACAAAAGTATTATTTTTAGAAATACACAACTGCTGTCCTCACAAATGGATTCCTATCATTGTTTAAAATATTTGTTGTGTTCTGATCCTACCAACACATCCTGGAAGGCAAGGCAGTGTACTAAATAGCAATGCTTATCAGATAAAGTTGCTGATGATGAGAGATCAGCCTCATTAATAATTAAAGTTAACCACAGAAAACATCAGTCGGATTGGTATACAGTTCAAAGCAAGAAATCTTCACAAATTTAATTTACAGAGGACTCTGTTACAGTGAAGGCTGCTACTGAAAAGCTATTTGGCTGCCCCTGTGAAGGAGTTTCATTCTTTCTGTATATTTATTTAATTTTCCATTACCAGCCAGTGAACGTAAAATGACCCTGTGATGAGCACTCAGGAGAAGTACAGCAAGACTAAACAATAATGTGTCTACAGCAAGCTGAATGTATTGGTATTCCATCCTCAGCCACCGCTGGAACTGTTCTCTTCCTCTGTGAACAGGTGCCAAGTGTGGATAGCCTCACCATTTAATTTCAGATCCTATTGAGCCGGAAAGACTTCCAGACTTTGAAAACTTTAAAAGCCTCTTCTATAAATTGGCCTATTGAATGAATGAAAGTGCTTACCTGCTTCTCTCAATGGATCAGAAAGTAGTGTGGTGAGCAGAGGGCAGCGCTGAACTCCCTGCCATTGTTGGTGGTGAGAGGTGTGCTGACGTCTGTGCCGCTGTCCATGGTAGCAGTCCTATCCCCGCCGCTGCTGACAACACTCACTAGCCTGGAAGTGCCTAGTGATGTGGACAAAGGCACTAGTGTTCGGGGAGATCGGCCCCCAGCACCTCTCCCTCCCTGCCCACCTTCACTCTTCTTGCTGGATAACTCCTCCCTTTGGAAGCCTATTCGTGAACATTGAAGTCGGTGCTGATACAAGCTGGACGATCCTGCCTTCAGCACACTCAAACTTTGCACACGAGAATGATAGCTGGCCAGCATGATAACTTTTCCCATGGCTTTAGTCAGTGTGTATGGATTAGTAGGATGTCGGTGCAGAAAATAGCCTGTGTGTGAACCAAGTACAGATAGTCAAATATTTATTTTATCCAGTTTCTTTTTAAATTTGGAATGTTTACAGATACTTGTTGCTGTGAGGCGATTTACTAAAAACTGGAGCAGATGTGCCTAGTAAGCCATCAGCATCTAGCTGCAGCTTGTTCAGGTAAGGTGGCCATACACTGTACAATCGGTGTCCACTCTGCTTTGGCTTTACCAAAATGATGCAATAAGAGGACAAACCTAAACATTCCATTCAATTAGTATCACGTCAGACAGGCTCCTGCACTAGGTCATTTATGGTAGATCTTGAGAAGATTGTACAGTCAGATTGTATAGTGTATGGTCATGTACCTTTTGAAAATAAAAGCTAGAAGATGATTGTTGCCATGCACAGATGCTCCAGATTCTGTCTGCTCCAGTCTTTGTCAATCCCTCTCTGTGTGATGTTAGTAAAGCTTAGGAGTTAAAATGGAATAGGGTGTGCTCTGTCTCTCCCTCCTCTCGGTCTTTCCTCAACCTTTGTTCGCTTTTACTATCACAATTTCTACCATTTTCTCTTTATCGCCCCTCTTTATTTCTTTCTTTCATTCTTTTCTTCTCTCTTTCTTTCTCTTTTTTCTCTCTTTTTCTCCGTTTTTTTCTCTTTTCTTCCCTTTCTTTCTCTTTCTTTTCTCTTTCTTTCTCTTTCATTCTGTCTCCCTTCCTTTCGTTCCCTCTCTCTCTTTCGCTCTTTCTCTCTTTTGCTCTCTTTTGTTCTCTCTATTTCACTCTTTCTTTCATTAATTCTGTCTTTCGCTCTACTTTGTTCTCTCTCTCTTCTGCTCTTTCTTTTATTAATTATGTCTATTTCTTCTCTTCTGTTCTCTTTGTTTAGTCTTTCTCACGTTTTTTTTTTTCTTTCTCTTATGTTCTCTTTTTTTCTCCTATGTTCCCTCTTTTCTCTTTCTTTCCCTTCTTCTTTCTCCTCTATACTCTCTTTCTCTACTTCTTTGTCCTCCTGTCTTCTGTTCTTTCCTTCGTGTCTCCTCTTTTCTCCCGTGTTCTTTCCTTCCCTCTTCTTTCTCCTTCCTGTTCTCTCCTTTGTCAACCGTTCTTTCTCTCTCCTTCTTTGTCCTCTGTTCTCTCATTCTCACTCCCCTTTGTTCTTTTTTTGTCTTTTCCGATTTATTTTTCTTTTATTTTTCTTTTCTTTTTCTTTGTCTTCCTCCCTTATTTCCTTACTCCTACGTCTCCCTGGTTAATCTTCAATCTGCCCGACATCACTGGAATGGAAGAAGGATTTTGGAGCGGTGCATCTACTACCCCTTAGTGAATTGACCAGCTGTTAAGAGATTTAATTAAAGATGTTTTTTAACGTTCCCTGGCTACAGTATGGAGGTAACTGTGTGATAAATCTTCTATGTCAGGCTGAGATTGCTAATTCGCAAATTGCACTGCTTTACCACAGATGATGGTATGAACCCTGTGTCCTGGATATGGGTTGTATAGGTGAACTTGTGTAGAAATACAACGTTGCCCCATGTACTTTAGGAAACCTAGCTCAGAAAGAAACGTAAGAGTCATTTTTAATGTGGCCGTGCATAATCGAGTCCCACCCAGGAAAAGCCTAGAGCTATTCATACTCAAATAGTGGCTGAGCTCCGAATTACTGGCGTCTCAGCACCTGGACAGCGCCTTGTGCAGCCTAACTTCTGGTCTATTGGCGGTGACTAAGAAGTTGATTAATGGCTTGCCTCTGTATTTCTTGTAAGCCGTCATCTTCTTGGACGTTTGATGGACACCTCGTATTATATATTTTATTGATAAATAACCTCTATTTGCCTCAGTCATCAGAAAATGGAAGAGGAGATTCGTCAAAGAAAAGAGTAATGGTACAACACGTTCACATGTATTTGAAGACTAATAACTCTAATCAGACACTTGATTTTGGTATTTTTTTTTTTCACTGAGCGCAGCAACAATCTGTACATGCCCATTACTTTGTCTTGTATTTAACTTGTTGCTTCCCTGCCACCAGTGACCTATATGTATAGCAGAGATATTAGGGAGTTCCAAATGCTAAAAGGTAAGATATGCTTTTGGGTGTAATCAAATCAATTTATGATGTATCTTTTTTTTTTTTTTTTTTTTTGCATATTTTAGTGTTATTCTGAAGAAGGTAGCGGTAATGTTAATTAACACTTCATTTAAAGTTTATTTAATCGAGTCACAAAATATAGATATATACAATATTTATGAACTTTATTTCCCTGAATATGCAGTTTTATTTCATATAATTATTTCTTTTGTACAGATATACAGTATTTCACATAAAGTTAAAAATGAACAATGAAACAGTCTCACAATACTGCGCCTAGATTTTGGGGGTGGGGGAGGGGAGGGGGAGCCACCTAGCTTGAGCTTAAAGGACGGATCATTGAGAACAATATATATTTATATGTATATATAGAATTTACCCCAAGAAATTGATATAATAAAAATAGGTTTTACAGGAACCATCATGAACATGAATACAATGTAGAAATGAGATCTTGGTACGTAAACATATGGCTGATTTTTTTTTTACGTTACTCTCCATTAGCTTTGCATAATTTTTAACTGTACTCGTATTCAGAGGACTCCTCTTCAGACATGTACTTCCCTGTCTGCTCATGGTAATTGTCCATGCTGTTCTCTGGAAGTTCTCCATCTTTAAGATGGCTCTTTCTAGACTTTGCTTTTCTCTCTTCCATTTTAATAGTGTCATACAAGCCCTTAGGTCCCTCATCTAGTAAGATATTCCTTTCAGAATGAGAGGGTTTCATTTGGCACACGTTTCTGAGAAACAGAAGGGCAGGGGCATACAGTACATTGGCAAGTCCCATGCCAAGATTAAGTTGGGTGAAGCCCATTGTATGAACAATTTGGCTGGCCACTATAGGCCCCAGGGCATAAGCCACTGAATAGGATATATCTGCTATTGCATAAACGCTTCCATATACAGAAACATGGCGGACATCTACTAGTAAGGCGAGAGTGGGCAATAGTGCAGTATCTACCAATGCAATGCCAAAGCACAAACCACACAAAGGAATGATTAGCTGCTCAAAAGTTTTACAAGCTGGCACCGTGCAAGAGCTGGCCCCTATTATTACCATTCCTATGGCACCATAGAACCATTGATATTGAGGGTAATTGGCAGCAAGTTTTACAGTAATATATACCCCTAGTATGTGAGGAAAGAATGCTGGCAGCCAAGTGAGACCCATTTGCCACTCTGAGGCACCCATAGTGGTTTTCATCCAGTTTGCTATGGTGGGCTCCAAAAACGCCAGAGGGATGTTACAGGTGGTCAGTGCCCCTGCCACTACTGCGATGTAAGGGTCGATCATGAGTCTATGGATGGGTGTGCCCACTGGCATGTTCTCTCTAGTCCGATTGGCGAAGGGTTTGATGACCGCTAGCAGCAGAATGCCATCAATGAGAGAGATGCAAGCCAAAATCAAAAAGGGCATTCTTTTCCCTACAAATTGATATAATATGCCTCCAAAGGGGGGCGCTACCAAGCTCCCGAAAGAAATAAACGCTATGGCTATACCCAAGGCTTTGCTCCGCTCTGCTTCCTCTGTGTATTTGTCTGCGATCATCGCGATCCCAGAGGTGTCTGCAAAGGCAGATCCCAAGCCTTGCAGACTTCTCGCTACAAACAGCGTGGCATAGTTCTCTGCAAACGCAAAAATGACAGTTGACAGGAACATAACAATCAGTCCAATCAAAAGAGGGATGTCATAGCCAACCCTGTCCATGAAGGTGCCACTGAGTGGGTTGACCAGCAGCTGTAGGATCGCTTTGGAGGCAAACAGGACTCCGATCTTGATGTCTTCATTCTCTGTTGGGTACGTGGGTCTGATGATAGATTTATTGGAAGAGGCTAAGCTGAAATTCAGCTCCTTAAAGGATTTTTCACTATGCGATCTCATACTTTGAATGTAGTCTGGAATTATAGGAACTATGACCATGTAGAGCATGTTATCAAGAAGAAGTGCCACGCAGACGATGAACAAGATGAGTCTCCTCTGGTGGTGGGCTTCCTTCATGGCACTGCCCAGCTGTTTAGTTCTTTCCCCCATGGCACAGGAGAGTTTCTCCATGGCGGACTTGGCTGCCCCTTGGGTGTCTTCTGGAGCCATGATCTCTCCTTCCTACTTGGTCACAAAAAGCAGAGAACACCAGCAGTCACCCCCACTTTGATAGGCTTCTCAGGGGAGCAGCTTCAACCACCAAACTACCATTCAGGGACCATTTAAAGCGTGGAGCCTGCAGAAAAGATATTAAGAGGGTGTCAGTCATCCAGTCCTATCCCTTCACATGTGATCAATTATGAAGCATCAGCAATCGTAAACCTGCCACCACATAGCATTCAAGGGTTAAACTTTATCATAAGCAACTGTCAACTTTCACATCCATCCTTCCCAAAGTTGGCTTCACCACTCATCATCATCAGAGCATCTAGTAATCCATTCCTAACCTAACAGGTTCTGCTTTAAAGTGAAGAACTAACAGTTGTGCTTTAATGTGAGAAAAAAAAATGACCGTTGTGCTTTAAGTTGAAGAAATAACAGTTTTGCTCTCAGGTACAGCCTTGACCCCCCCCCACACCCTTCCAAAAGGAAACATTGACTTACTTCTCTGCCTCTTCTCTCCTGTAAATCAGTTCCAGCTCTGGAGAAGCATCTTCAGATCCTGGGCTCCCAGCAGCTCAGATGAGGACCATAGACTTGGCCAAAAAACGACTCTGTGTTAATTGGTGCTGGCAAAGGCGGCGCTGGTGGCTCTGAGCGCAGCATTGGAGAGGTCGGTCCCCGCTTCAGCCGAGCATGCCTCCATTCCTCCGTGCTGCCATTGGCACAGATTGACTTGCATGCTTCTCGATTCCTCCACTTTCTTTCCGCGGAGGGCTGTGACGCGCGGTTAGCTTTGGCCCCCAAGTGGCTACTTTGGGAGCGGCGTCTCCTTATGCTAATTTAACACATGGAAGAACCTTAACCAATTACTGAGAGCCGACCCTCCTCTTTATTGGCTTCGTAGATAGGGAAGGGACTCCCTGTCCTCAGACACTCTTTCTCTTTTTTTTTTCTTTCATTGAGAACAGCGTCATATAAATTATTCAGTTAACCCTTTGCAGAGGATAACAGAATAAAATGTTCTTCCAGCCTTTCCTTTCCAGTATTGGCAGATTCCCAACAAATGGGGCCACTACAATTTTTCTGATCAATATTATTATTTCCTTTCATGATTGTCAGGGAATCCCCACTCTTTACTCTTTTTATTTAATTCTCTGTACAACCTACTGATCATAAGCTGTAGGTGTGGTCATTTTACTGGGGGTTTCCTGAGACCTGAAAACTATTTTAAGGGTTCCTCCATGGTAAAATGGTTGAGAGAGGCTGTGGTAACGAAATAAATGCACTGCCTCCTGTAAAAAAAATAAAAACAAAAAAAAAGCCTATACCAAATAAGTTAGCTGTTGCGGCATATTCCGGAATGTGTTCCCACATCTGTTGTGGACTATAAGGCTGCATTCAAACCTGAGCATAGCAATTTCCTGGCATTTCTATTTGAGAGTTTTTGGGTGACCTTTGAAGCATATTACAAGCATTGTTGTTTAGCCAATAGAAAGCACTAGAGGGAGGAGAGTGGGAGGAAATTAGGGGTGGAGAGCTGCTGTTTGAGCAGAAAACACGCAACAAAACGCTTGTAAAATGCCCAAGTCACACATTTTCAGGCATTTCTATTCAAGTCTATGGGGCTAAAAACCCTTGTAGTCTGCCAAAAAGAATCTCATGTACTTTTTTTGAGCAACAGGCATTTTGCTTCAGTGACAGAATGCTCATATGTGAACAGGGACCATTGAAATGAATGAGATGTGGCTTGTTGAGTGTTTTAGAGCTCAAAGCTGCAAGCAGAAAATCACTTGGTTAGGGTTGCTACCTCATCCCTTTAAAACCGAACACATTAATTAGACAGGTTCTGTGGCTGATTAAGGTGGTCATTAAACTCACTTGGTGCCTTATCTGCATTAAATTTGCTGAATCTGTGTAATTAATATGCTCGATTTAAAGGGATGAGGTGGCAACCCTACCTGAATCTTGTAGCTCTAAAATGCTCAGCAAGCCAAATCCCATTCATTTCAATGGTCCCTGTTCAAGGGTTGCTACCTCATCCCTTTAAAACCGAACACATATTAAATACACAGGTACTGGGGCAAATTTAATGCAGATAAGGCACCAAGTGAGTTTAATGACTACCTTAATCAGCACAGAACCTGTGTAATTAATGTGTTTGGTTTTAAGGGGATGAGGTGGCAACCCTTCACTGTTCACATACTGTATGAGTGTTCTGTCGCTTGAAGTAAAACGTCTGTCACTCAAAGTACATGAGCTTCTTTTTTGGCAGATTACAAGCATTTTCGGCCCCATAGACTTCAAAAGAAACACCTGAAACTGTGTGACTTGAGCGTTTTACGAGCATTTTGTCTTGCGTTTTCTGCTCAAAAAGAAGCTCTCCACCCCTAATTTCCTCCCGCTAATGCTTACTATTGGCTAAACAAAAATGCCTGAAGTTGTAAAACGCTTGTAATACACTTCGAAAATGCTTGTAATACACTTATAAAAATGCTCAAACTCTCAAATAAAAATGCCAGTAAATCTCTAAGCTCAGGTGTGAATGCAGCCTAAAAATATAAACAGTGCTGTGCTGCTGGCACAACCCAATGCTTAGTAAAGTAAATAGAATAATGGTGACATAAAAGATAATTTAATCGTAATTATCACACTCCAAAAAAATCGCTGTCCTGAAAATAAACACCCACTTGCCCTGCTAGTACATCATCTTAATGCAGAGAATAGGGTGATAGAAATACAAATGCATCATCAATTAACAAACTGAATAAAAATAAATGAATCATACAAATAGACATGTATAGTGAACACCTACCTGCTTCACTAGTACCACAGGCTAATAGGGAATATAGGGAAGACCAGTGTACATACAGCAGCTGGCTTGAATAGTGATAAAATAACACACTAGGATAACCTATAAAGTTCTAACATCGTGACAATTAATCAAGTGACATACAAAAAATTGCAAGCACAAAATTGTTTTTAATTTTTTGCTATTGAATCACATTTTCACTATTACTTTATTAACCACTTGCCCTCCAGAGGATTTACCCCCCTTCCTGACCAGGCCATTTTTTGCGTTACGGCGCTGCGTTACTTTAACTGACAATTGCGCGGTCATGCAATGCTGCACCCAAATGAAACTTACATCCTTTTTTCCCCCACAAATTGAGCTTTCTTTCAGTGGTATTTGTTTGCCTGTGCATTTTTTGAGCTATAAAAAAAAAGAATTTTGAGAAAAAAAAACAATATTTTTGACTTTTGCTATTAAACATGTCCAGTAAAAAATAAAAAAAAAAAATTAAATTTCTTCATAAATTTAAGCCAAAATGTATTCTGCTACATGTCTTTGCTAAAAAAAAAAATCCTCAATACATGTAAATTAATTGGTTTACGTGAAAATTTATAGCGTTTACAAATGGCGTTATATATACTGGGATTTTTTTAAAAATTTTTTACTAGTATTGGTGGCGATCAGCGACTTATAGCAGGATTGGGATGGACATTCTTACACTGGGGGGAACTCTGACATTCCCAGTGACACCAATACAGTGATCAATGCTAAAAAAAAAAAAAAAAAAAAAAAAAAGCACTGACACTGTACTAATGGAAGTGGCATCCCGAGGCAGGTGCGGTCCGCACCGGGTGACACCGATCGCATGGGAAAGGGAAAATGTCACCAGCACACAGAGGATCACCAATATGGGTCCAAAGGTTTTAATGAACGATAACATAGTTACAGCAAGGCAACGTTTCGGAGTCTCGCAGGACCCCTTCATCAGGCATGTGACAAATTTGTGATAGAAACTGGAGAACTATTTAAAAAAAACCATCCACCAATCAGAGTGAAGTGAAATGAGCTTGGCCCCGCCCCATGATGTCATATTCACTCCAAAAATGGAGCCCATATAGGTTGCATGCCGACGATCCTCGTCGGCATGCAACCTATATGGAGGCGACACCAGACCCGCTCCAAGAAAAGGTAAATTGTAAAGAAAGCCGACGATCCCTGCAGGATGCATTGGATCTGCGGTGTCCGATCCATTATGCTCAATCCGCAGATCCGATCCATTCTGCGGGGATCGTCGCACTGGGTGACACCTACCCTAGGGATGTCTCTGACTAATGGCACTGGGTAGGAAGGGGTTAACATGAGGGGCGATCAAAGGGTTAACTGTGTGCAGAGAGTGTTTTACTATGGGGCGGTGTCTGTGTGCTTCACTGTAATCACACTGCTCTGGATGACTGTGCTGTGCACAGCCATCCAGAGTAGTGTGCTCAAGCTGACAGGGAGGAGAACTGTTAGTAAAACAAAACAGTCCTCCTCCCTGTCAGAGATCATCAGAAATCACTGGGCGCCGGCGAGTAATTACCGTCCGGGGCCCCGTGATTGACCACCGTGGCCGCGAATGGCGGTGCGGGTAGGGCGCCTATGTGCGCCCCCTACCCGGAAATACAAAATTGTGTGTGTGTGTGTATGTATATGTATGTATATATATATATATATATATATATATATATATATATATATATACACACTGTATATACATACAGTCAGGTCCATAAATATTGGGACATTGACACAATTCTAACATTTTTGGCTCTATATACCGCCACAATGGATTTGAAATGAAACTAACAAGATGTGCTTTAACTGCAGACTGTCAGCTTTAATTTGAGGGCATTTACATCCAAATCAGGTGAACGATGTAGGAATTACAACAGTTTGCATATGTGTCTCCCACTTGTTAAGGGACCAAAAAGTAATGGGACAATTGGCTTCTCAGCTGTTCCATGGCCAGGTGTGTGTGTTATTCCCTCATCCCAATTACAATGAGCAGATAAAAGGTCCAGAGTTAATTTCAAGTGTGCTATTTGCATTTGGAATCTGTTGCTGTCAACTCTCAAGATGAGATCCAAAGAGCTGTCACTATCAGTGAAGCAAGCCATCATTAGGCTGAAAAAACAAAACAAACCCATCAGAGAGATAGCAAAAACATTAGACATTT